TATACACTTGCATTTTATATAGAAATATACGTGAGACAGAGAAGCACCGTTGTGGAAGGTTTTATTAGTAGCGGCTCATCTAGGCCAGATCTCAAGGAAGTCGTAAGAAGACGTCAGCAAATAGCTTCGTTTCCTTGGGGTTGACTTTCCTGTGCCTCACCGATGCCACTTACCGGTGGTTCCCTAAGGGCACCTCACTTTTTTGTCCTATTCTAGCTTCTCACGGCTAGATCGTTCTTACTTTATCTCGTCCGAAAGACATTTAAGCTGTCAGTCGTGATTTCGCTTGAGATTGAATCAACGCAAAATATATCATTGTTTAAATAAATATGCGAAGATGATTGGATTTTCGTCTACGTCCCATTCGCTTGCCTAGCGACAGAAGGCCGGGTCCGAACCCTTAAAATAACATAGCTGTAGCATTTTATTAACACATGTCGAAAGGCAGTCGTTACCATTGGTTAGTTTCTAAAGCATCCAGCAGTAGCATCAAACGGAACATCTCGCTAATAATTTTCGCTTTTCCCCTATCGTTCTATTAGCTGGACCTAAAAGTCAGAGAAAGGCGCATGGTCAGCAGACGTATCTGAGCAGTAACGGCGCATCCTGTACCCGAACAAACCTCGCTTTGATGTGCTATGGTGGAGGTTACGAACTTTTTCCTCTTCCGGCCTTCTGCTGTTCGAAAAAATCCTACACTGCCCTGTATCAATCCAGTGGGCAAGGAATCAATTATCTTGCTCAGAGTAAAAATAAGAGCGAAACTCTAATGCGCAAAGCTGGGCTACGCACCTGAGGCCCCATAGTGAGAGGGCACTGGAGAATACAGGACGTAATACGTGGGAACGTAATTTGGTTTTTTTTTTGTTCCCGAAAAATTCTCTTCATTTTTTTACAAAAGGCGCGATCACTGGATAAGTTGCGGACGCCATTGGTATTTTTGGGCAAAAGCAACTAGGAACGAACAAACTAAACCCATCGAACATCAAAGTAGTGATGGAATTTTATAATCGTCACGCTACGACGACTATGGTGGGTCAAACAAATCGCAAAAATTTACTCCCTGTGTGTTTCACTCAGACTCGAAATAACATATTGCCGTCCGTCCTAAAACATAGGCGACAATCGGTTTGTTATTTGGAGTTCTATTCGGATAGGTTCTAAGTTGAATCTTGATCATCTTGCTAATACCGAAAAACACGATATACTATTTCTACCGTTTACATTGTTAACAATTTACTTCTACCGCTACCCAAGCAACTTTAATCGGCTTCGGTACCCCCGGGGGCTTGTACAGTACGCAAACACTTACCTGTATTTTGACAAATTACGTCTCTTAGTGCGGCACTGCTTGTTTCAATAGCTATGAGCGCCAGTTCAGATATTCGGAGTCACTTGACCGATTCACTTAAGGTCGCTGACTCAGATCCTGCCAGTATGTATATTACTCTGCAAATGCGATATACAAGCTGTATATTAATGAGAGTAGCGATTATATACAATCGTTATTAAGTAATATGTCGTAACATATAGGTTGAGTAAGGCATTACTGCTCTTAATAGCGAACAAAAAGAAGGAGGGTAAAAACAGGAGGAACGAAGGGAGCTAGTAGAGGGTTAATAATTGTAACACAATAAGAAAGTGTTGACAATGCTGTTTTAGGCATTAACTCGAACCTGTGCGAAAATAAGATGCCAGTCAGCGAAAGAAAGGCTAGGTACAGGATTCAAAAATGTAACGTTTTACCTCAAGAGCAAAATTCATGTGTAGCAGGCTATTTCACGGATCAAATAGATGGCGGCACCTAACAAAATTCCCGAAAAGATACTCGCAGAACATCGACATTTTTCTTAAACAAGCCTTAATCTAATTAGAAGCCAAAAAGGAGCTGACCTGCGCTTAAATTAGATACGTTTCTACAGTTAATGAGCAACCTTAAATTTCATTTAGCTACCTTTAAAAAGTTACTTTTTATCTTAATATGCCCATAGAATAAACGACGATGGAATTTAGTGAGGTTAAATAGAGATCATCAAAGACGAACTGGTTATGTTTTTAAAAACGAAATAGTAATTTCAGGCTGTCTAAGATAATGAATGATAAGTGAGAATATATTTACTCTTTGCTGAACTCTCTCAGGCATAAACGAAATTTCGGACGGAACTTACCAATACTTCCACCAGAATTTAATCTGGAACAAAAAAAAACAATGCTTCTAGTTACATCTACGTTTCGAGTTTTAAGTCTGGTAGCGACGTTTGGCATTCGATGAGACGACTGGACGGCTCCCAACAATAGACGTCTGTCTATGCCCGGGTTCGAATCTAGACCCCAACATGTGTCTAAGACTAGCAAGCAAACAGTAAGCCATCACGGAGATGATTGTAACTATCTTTTTCGCATTATTTAAATAACAACACTATCTTACTATTAATGTGTTAAACGACTCCGTATGTTTAGAGTATGGCGGAATGGCCTTAAGTAAATATTGAATTTGATCTAAAGAAACGTACTCAAATTGTAGTAATTGTAACTTTCTTCTATATACAAGTGTTTATTAAACATAAACGGTAATATTATGTAGATTACACGGGTTCCTTCAATGCATTAGATGGTAGAGTGGGTTTATCATCAGCGTCATAATAAACGGGCGGGTTACGCTCGAGCTACCTCAGTTCGTAATTAAAAAGCAACTAACACGGAACGTTTAGGTATCTATAGAATAAACTTTAAACGCAACTTCTTACACGCACACCCACGAGAAATGCCGCTTGCCGAATGAGATTGCGAAACTTCAAAGGAAAACAAACAGATCAATCTTTGTTCTTCTTCTTTTTTTTTTTTCTTCTTATTTGTTTATTGGACAGACTCTGATTATGCCGGATGGAAGAAAGGTTGCTTCCTACAAGGAATGAGCTCGAATAGCAGTTTTACTATTAGATCTTCCTGAAAATCTTTTTACTAATATTCGTCTATCTAATCTTGTGGGCTTAGCTATTCCAGAGATAAGCTCGAACCAGCGGCGCTTGGTAGGTTGTTTATCTTTTTGAATTCTAATAATGCTAGCGTTCGAAAAATGTCAAAATATTAGGTTAAAATAGAACGCGAGGGATCTTACTGGGCTGATGTTTGATAAATCCAGTTAACTGTTAACTTTTTGAAGTGAACTTCGTAAAGACATCGTAAAATAGGGTAAAAAAAAAGTAATATTGCCAATGTTTTACGCTTAAACTAACAACACCGGCTATATATATATATATATATAATCCGTTTTTCTACAATATTCTCCCGTTTTCAAACAGTGTATTGTGTTTGTTCCGTATAACCAGAAATTATCAGATTTGATCTCAAATGTTAAAGGATTGCTTTACTCAATCTTTGAAAGCTTCTTCTGAAAGCCGATTTTATCTACTAAATAATGGAGAAGAATTTTCCAGTGTATGAGACCCTTCCACTCCCAATAAACACAAATTGTGGCATTCTTCGAATGGAGATCTGACTTAATTTCGGGCTTAAGCCCACCTTCCGAAGCTGAGTATAGGATGCTTTCATTGCGCGTTGCTCATTACATCTGAACCACAATATATCCGGCCATTCAGTATATATTGTGCCTCAGAGAACGTGACTATTTTAGGTAAGAGTAACTTCTCGGGCTGTGTTTAAGTTCTGAACGTAGTGTATAATGTAGTTGACATCCTACCAGTACACTTCCTTCAGAGAGGCGAATGCATCACCAAAGAGTTTTACCTGCTTATTCCAGAAGTTGTTGGGTGCAGTATCTAAAGGAAAGCTCAGGTTTGTACCAGTTAGATTACTATGTACAGGGGGCTATTGAGTATGAATTCAACAATTCTCGACATCACAATGTGGGCTCGTTCGACCTATCGTACGATCTATTGCGTTTGCATATCTGCAAAGGGGATGTTTGGAATGAGCCTGTAAGCGATCAAAGTCTTCAATGGAGGCAACAGTCGTGGTGAATGGAGCCTATATTACATTAGTGTTTATTAACATACGATTTTAGATACAAAACGCAATACAAATTTCGGGTCTTGGTCATTTTAATGATTTAGGTGGGAATGCGGCACAAGCAATTGATGACCAAACCTCTCTACGGTATCATCCGTAATAGTATGCGCAATCCTCGAGGCCTAATAATAAGGCTTGAGCTCGCGTAACGTACTCGTTGATACACACGTTAGATAAACATTATGTTGATCTTTTCTTAGTTCGGTATTCACTCCATGCCTATTCCAAGTTATGACGATAAGCTAAATGATGTGGGGGCTTTGGTGACACTAGGCCGAACTAGAACGTTTTCGAACAGCAATCAGTGTGATCGTTCGCATTTACTTATATACGGTACTGTAAATATACTAAATAGATATAAATCCAACATGATATATAAGTTTTCTCATATAAACCAATAAAATCGCTAAAATCTCTAAGGTACATGCTGCAACAATTCGAATAAAATATATTTATACAAAAACGTTTTTTTTTTTTGTAATTCTTGCATGCAGCACATCCGATCATTTTGAGTTTTATGCATATTTGGGCCACCTGTCGACGGCTTAGTGTAAAACCCTAATGCATCGTTCCAGGATGCCCTTGACTTCAACCCCTGATGACTGCTGTTTTCCTCTCACATATTTTTTGGAGTTGCCACCCCATGTAACTCTTCACACGTATTCACCTCGAGTTAGTCGTCGCAGATGTACAAAGTAAAATGCAGCATACATAGCAATCGGAGTTCGAAGAGGTCCCAGTTTCATTTTATGGGCATAGTCCTTCAGCTAATCGACTAACAGACCCACCGGCGGGCCAGCGCTCGTCGCTATAGATACCATTGGGTTCAAATCATAACAAACTCAGCCCCAACAACACTCGCTAATGCTGGGCAATCGCTTGTCTAGTCGTCAAACGACAGGATTTGCTTTACAGGGACAGTCAACTGATAGCCTATTTGGGTGCATTCATACCATACTTTGCATTTTAAATTTCTCGGCAGACATAATTATGCCGTCATCACGAATTAGATACGACCACGGTCGCTGCTGCGAAGAAAAGACCAACGGCAATGATATAGCAATGTGGTGACACAAGTTCAGTTCCAAGTTACCTGTATTTGATGCGGTTATCACCAGCTATGGCTACTGCTCTGTGAGGTTTTCAAGCCAAACGGAAAAGTGCGCTTAAAGAGCGCTAATATTCAGTCGTGCAAATGTGACCAGTGTGTATCCAGTCGTGACGCTATGGATAACGTGAATTTTTACGAATAAGCAGGACGGACGGACATAATGAACAAGGCAGAACGGCCGAAATAGGTGGCGTTCCCAGTTTCCAACATGGGCAATCCTCTCGTTAGCAGCTACAAAGGCGCCTTCGTGGCTACGAGGATATTCTCGACGGTCACTGGAGGTATACGGTGGCCTTCGGGTAAGCAGTTTAGGTTATATTTTTCCGTTGAATTTATATTTCACACTGCGTGACAATGCCCTGCAATTTCTGTATTGCAATGTATTGAAGTAGTTGATAGTGTACAATTGTAATGTAAATAGTTCCTTTTGAGTAAACAGACTTTTTCTGTCACAAGTCGGTCATCAAAAAACAACGGTTCCAAGAACAGCTTGACTTGAGCCAGCAATAAGAGTCGTCTGGTGTCGTGCGAACTAATCCTTTCTATCTATTGCTACATAATCTACATTTCGAAACGAATTGCCCTTTTTCCTAACTCTGTACAAGAATCTACTAGAATCAAAACATACGAGCTCTGCTCATTTTTTTTGCTTGGATTTAACACGATCTTGATAACATAATATCTTATTTATCTGAAAAGATAAAAATGCTTACCATGCTACTCTTACTACCAACAACTGTAATAAAGGATCTTTTTTTGTATTTTAGGTAAAAATACACAAAAAAACACTTGTTACGCTTTAAATATTGAATCATAAGATCATCTGAATGGTGGCGTTTGATTCAAAGGAAAGGTGTTAGCAAGTTTAATTATTGTTGTCCTAGAACGCGAACACCTCCTTGTGACAAGTGAACGCTATACTTATATATAGATATATATAGTACGATACATAAACATATCTTAGGATGACGCCTAATTCAAGTGAAAATGTTATTCGACATTAGGCCTAAACAGGAGTCAAATAAATGAAACGTTCATTAGGAATCATCTAGGCATATTTGTGCTGCTGTTTCCTCTCAATGCATATTTAGCTAAAAAAATCGCCTTCGAAGCTTTTTCCCTCTCTTGCTGAGATTTCAGTTACTTCAATGCATAGAAAGGAAAAAATGTGTTATTCCATAGTTTGATATCTATATAGTTTGAAATGCTTCTGTTTTTTTTTGAATTTTTCGAGCAGATTTTGCTCTTTTTATTAACAAACAAACCAACTAGAATTTAAATTTCCTTTTGATAACGAGCAGTACGAGCACGTTGACAGCTCGAATATCAACAAAATAAGACGACGTAGATAAGAGTGAACAAGGGATTTTTCTTCAGGCAAGCTAATGATGATAGCTGAACCCAACTATATAAGATAGGCTGTGCGTTAGTTCATCAAGTCATTAACTTAACAATTAAGTTAAACTCTAATAATTGTTATACTACTAAGTGCATAAAGACTTATTTAACAACAAGCACCTGAAGCAATAATAGTCTTAAAAACGGATGTAGGCAGTTAGCGTCTCCTGTACATTCAGTTAGTCCTCGTTGATATGTGACGAATTAGATTCTCGAAATAAAAGGCTGTCCCATCGCTCTTACCACTCTTGCCATTGAAGAATCAGTGTGTACGAAGACATATAAATTTGTGTCCCTCATGTATACAGTCACCTTCTTTGAACCTTTCTGGAAGTACCACGATATCCTACAGATTTTTTTCTTCGACACTATAAGCGCAAAGCTATCCAGAGTATATCTCCGTTTAGATGTGAAGCAGTCGGTTAGTTCTTTATACATACCTTTATGGTATCCTGAGAATAATTTCTATATCCGTTTACGCATTGGTTTTTAGTATAGTTATTAGTCTGCATTATATTCGCTAATGATTCCTAAAGAGACTCATTTCAGTTTTACTCCTTAGACACCAAACGTATGGGTCTGGCCTAAATTACGCATTAACTGTTGAAAGTATTATGGCTGTTCAAAATCTGACAGCGCGCGCGCGCGCGCGCATACGAGGGGGGAGAGAGAGAAAGAGAAAGGGAAAGAGACGTGACATGCAACGACGCCTCCCGTTCAAGTGTGCTGTAGAACCCACTACTGAATATGCAGACCTGTATTCAAAGCGTCTCCATTCAACACAATATGGATAAAAGGTGCTTGAATAGAGCGTATACATAGCAAAGGATTAGTTCCGATAGTGTAAAATAAACGTTCCTATGGTCTCTCATCAACAGCTATTGCCTCAATTTTGAGTGATTTGTCGAGTGGTTGTACTTCATGGTAATTATAGATTAACTCTGAATGGTCGGATTTTACACAGAACTATGCTGAACAGTGGCGAAGATTTCTTGTATATGTCGAAAAATAAAATACTTTTCTAAAATACCGTACTACATGCCTTACATAACAGTCTCCGTGATTTAAAGGAAGGACACCCTTTGAACAGTTTAGTCGATCGATGTTTAGAATCTACCCGGCCAAGTGATAATGGGCGTTTCTTTATGAACATTAATATTTCACGGTTCTTTCTTGTGTAGTTTTTACATCGAATCGGAGTCATAATAACAGATGGTTAGGGTATGTTTGCCAAAATGTTTCTGAAGATGAACTAATAAGATTTTTAATTGTAAATTTAAAAAATACATCACCGAACACCGAAATTTATAGTAAGTTGCAAATACTTTTCACTTTTTTAAATGTGACATACGGTCTATATGGATAAAAATAGCTTTCTTTTTGCATGTACTATATTCTTAAACCTCTAAACTCATATAACTCGTTAACTACTTGTTCTAATTACTGTAATTTAGTTTTTTTAACACAGTCACTCGTTATAGCTGGAAAACACGTTACTACGCTCCACAGGTACATTTATGGTAATACATTTATAATAATAGTAATAATAATTAACCGTCTACAATAAATTGTCAAGTATTCTTTTTCATTTAAAACAACAGGCGGTAGAAAACGTGGTTAAATAGTATAGACAAACGATTACGTTACGCTTGAACAAACTCTATAAAACTATTTAGAACCTAGAACTGCCCACCAAAACAAACATGAAAATGGTATAAAGGGGTTGTATCCACACATCCTATCCTGCGGCATCCGAGTGGATGGATTCCTGACACTGGCAGGTGGCCTCCGATATTCGGGATTGATTCAGCCAGTTCTAGACACAGCCTTGGACCCGGTTTTCTACAGTTTTTTTTTTTTTTTTTTTATAAATTCAATCGCTGTTGCGTATCGTACACGTTGTTTCAGTCGATCCATTTAAGTCACTAGAAAGTTTAATGAGGATTCAGTTGGCACAGTCAAAGCAGAATCGGATTCAGTAGACACGTGTAGAAAATAAAGGGTATTACTGTGCGTAAAATGTATATATATATATCGCCGTTGGAAAGATACTGACCTTCTTCTTTATAGCCAAATATCTTTTGATATTTTCAAGTAATCTAACTAAACCTAATTAACACCGTTATAAAGTTCTCAGAGGCCAAAACAGATGCTAGCTTCATGGTGCAAGACGCGGGCTATACGATCGAAGTTTTTTCGATTTTCGTCGACTAGCTAAACATATATGTGGTATGCCGCAGTATTTCGAATTTTATGTCCGGTATCGGCATTTTTCTTGGCGGCAGAAATTCATATTTCACGATTCTTTTCTACTTATATTAAATACATAGCATCACGTTTTGGCGGCGATCTGAGTTTGCCACAATTTAATTTTTTTTCATTGACATATCATTGTCGTAAGTGATCTACTTTTCGTCATGATCAAGAACTTTAGAAATAGTTCGATTCTATTATGTTACTGTAGAGGCTTGCAGACGGAAATACAATCGAGTGAACCCTTCTGTGGCACCTAAGCATCGATTATTTTTATACCCCGCTTCCTTCCCTAATTGACCGCCTATTAGAAGGAGCATCTCTTACAACAGGAGCTGACGTAACTCATATTACCTGAGATACGTGATTTTAAAGCCATTTAATTAGAAAAACAGCTAATGCTGCTTCGGTAACGAAAAAAAAAAAAAAAAAATATATATATATATATATTTTGTTTTTTTTCCCTTTTTTTTTTGTTTATATTGCCGTGGATAACAAGGTTTCCACCGACGAGCTGTAATATATTCGGTCTCAAGCAAATATGTACACATTTAGGCTGCATTTATCTAGAAAGTACGATATTATGAATATTTGCAGTGTGCATCTTTACGTCCGGTCGTGCTAATGAAGTATGGTTTTTTTCGCACCTAGTCCACGGAGCATCCTTATAGCTGCGTGGGCCACGCGACTCGCTATAGTAAATGACTATTGGTTATCCGGCTTTTTATTCAGTCGTTACCCCTTCGACCTCTACTGGTGCCTTTGTGGAGTCCTCGAACTTCCACTACGCACACTTTGCTTGTTCGAACCGCACTTTCATGTGCCATTCCGAAGCAGTCGGTTTCCGTTCCACGCAGTCCCGTGATGTTTCGCTTTTCAGGGTTTTCGAACCCGAAAAACTTTCTGGGCAGTACGGCGCAATAACAGAAGCGGTCCTCATTGAAGGATATGTTAAGCGAGAACACTATATGGGGCAAAAGCTTCTAGAACGAGCTGTGTCCTTGTGCAACCCTTTACGTGACCATTTGAATGACACGCTTGTCTAGTCCGTTGTACCATGCGTGACCGTCAACCGTTCTAATTTGTTTGACGCGGTTTTACCTGAAGCAATCTCCGGCTCGCGACAATTTGGAACAGATTGTGCTCATTGTCACAACTCCGCCGAAATGTTCGAAGAAGCACTGCGCTCCAGCGTCCGGATCACGGTATCAGACACCACCCCCCTATTGGCACAAGCTGGACAAAATAGGTGCAATTATCGATTAATACAAAAACCTGAGAATCCTTACCTTCCGCAAACTTTGATGGACCCATGAAGTTTAGCCTAACCTTCTCAAAGAGGCGCTTCAGAGGCGGTACCGGGTGAAGCGCATCGCGTCGCCCTGGGTCTCAGCTACACTGCCGGCGAACTTCGCACCGTGCGACCCCCCTCGACTCACGGTGCAAGTTTAGTTCTAATAAAGAAGCGATCTGTAATGCGTTGCAATGTCTTTCGGAAGCAGATATGGCCCCGAGTGACATAGCTTATTTCAGCTGGAATGTAATGCATTGTAAAGCAGCGTTTTCTTCCCTTCGAAAAGGCCCCGAACAATAGAGCTGTTACTAGCGACCTAGAATTTGTTCAGCCTCAAGCGACTCTTTGTATACA